GGCTTAGCATACAACTGATGCTCTCTCAGAATTTGCAAAACAATCTTCAAATACTCAGAATGCTCTTCTTTGCTCTTGGAATATATCAATATGTCATCAATAAAGACAACCACAAATTGATCCAGATAGGCTTTAAAGATCCGGTTCATATAACTCATGAAAACGGCTGGTGCTTTGGTATGCCCAAAAGGAATAACCAGGTATTCATAGTGCCCATAACGGGACCTGAAAGTTGTCTTCGGAACATCATTCGGTTTTATCCGGATCTGATGATACCCGGACCGGAGATCAATCTTAGAAAATACAGTCGCACCACGCAACTGATCCAATAAATCATCTATACGCGGCAAAGGATACTTATTCTTAACTGTAACCTTGTTCAACTGCCGGTAGTCAGTACATAATCTCATAGACCCATCCTTCTTTTTAACAAAGATCACCGGTGCTCCCCACGGAGACACACTCGGTCTAATAAAATTCTTACTGGACAAGTCTTCAATCTGCTTCTTCAATTCAGATAATTCAAGAGGTGACATCCGGTATGGGGAAAGAGAGATAGGCCCCACGCCAGGCAACAAATCAATTGCAAATTCAATTTCCCTCTCTGGAGGAAAGTGCGGAATTTCATCCGGAAAGACATCCTCAAACTCGGAGACAATTGGAATAGCAGAAATTGGCTCCTTGTTGACACCAACCAGACCTCCTAACAAAACAAATCCGGAATCTCCTCCCTTCAAGGCCTTTACAACCTGAAGTACAGACAAATAAGGAGACTCCCTCTCTTCATCATGAGATGAGACATAAATGGTTTTACTGCAACAGTCAATCTTCACACAGTACTTAGACAACCAATCCATCCCCAAGATTAAATTCATCGAGGCAAGATGTAAGACGATAAAATCGGCAGAATATTCCCTGCCTTCATACTTGAACTTCACATTTTCACAAATATATTTTTCCTCAAAAACTTTTCCCACAGCCGTAACAATAGGATTTTTCATTTTTACTATATGCAGACCAAATGCATCGTCTACATAATCAGCAATAAAAGAATGTGTGGCACCAAAATCAAACAAAATACTAAGCATTTCATCACGAATATAAATCATACCTCGTACCAAACTAGCTTATCTCTCCGCCTCTTGCTGAGTCACTGCATATACTCGGGCAACTGGAGGTGGGAGAGGTAGAGATGGTTCCTCAACCACAATAGGAGCTGGAGTAGCCTGAATAGTAGAAAACTGTCCCCATTAAAGGGGCAGTCCCTAATAAAATGCCCAGGTTGGCCACATTTGTAACACAGTCTTTTCTCTTTCCTACAAACCCCAGCATGAACTTTGCTACATGTAGAGCATTGAGAAGCAGTTTTAAAATTCCCAGTCTTTGAGTTTCCATCCTTCTTGAACTTACCATCAGATTGTTTAACCTGCAAAACTTTTCCTTTAGAATTCCCAGAAGTATTTTTAGGGCCAGAATTAGGAGCAGCTTGGTCCTTATGCTTCCTTCTATAGTACTCTTGAATGTTTTTACACTTTTTGACGAGTGCAGCAAAAGTATCAAAAGAGTGTCCTGCAAGTTTTTCAGAGATGTTATCATGTAGTCCCCTATGAAATTTAAACACCAGATCATCCTCAGTAGGTGGAGCTCTCTGGAAATGAGAGTATTTGGCCAGCTTATTAAATTTATTTAGATATTCATCAATAGACATCTGGCCCTACTTTAGTTCTTCAAATTCACCCTTCTTCCTTATCCCCGGAAAGTATTTCAACAAGAATTGCCTTTCAAATAATGGCCAGGTAATAGCATAACCCTGACATTCCAAGGGATGACGGGTATTTCTCCACCAATCGGTTGCGTCACTCTGCAGCATATAGGAAGCATACAGTAATTTCTGCTGATCATCACACTCCATAACAGTAAAAATACGATCCAACTCCTCCAACCACTGAATTGCAGCAATAGGATCAATGCCGCCTTTATAATGTGGTGATGCATGTTTACGGAATGCATTTAGCATTCTTTCTCTCTGCTCTCTGTTAGTGGCTGGCAGTGCCACACCGCCCCTGTGACTGGACTCTTCATTTAGGTCATTATTTCCTTCACCCTCTACTACAATGGGATTGAGAGGAGGAGGAATAGGCTGGGGCTCAGGCTGTGGCTATTGCAAAGGCTACTGCTGTGGACCTTGACCACCAGCCCTCACCTCAGCCAGAAGTAACCTCATCATTTCTACATTTGCCAGTCTACTTGTTGTCATCATTTCTTGGTTCGCCAACCTATTGGCCTCTAACATATCTTGATTTGCTTTCATCATCACTTCCAACTCTCGCTGCCTAGCTGCAGCCATATTTTGTTGCATAGCAGTTAAGGCCGTTATCATGTTGAAGTACTTGCCCGCTGATTTACACGGGGTCTGGCTAAATCTGCTAAAATCGGATCTGTCGGATCTATGGGAGGATCAGGAGTCCTCCTTGGACGAACTATAATTATGCACATTTTACACAAAGGAATGAGTTAGCTATGCTCACACTCAGTGATCAGACATGCATATCATAGTACTCCAGGAAAAACTCAAGAATATCCCAACCCGAACAGTTTATGCAATATATCACAGACTTTCCTAGGGAAACTGCTCTGATACCATAAATGTAACATTCCCGTCTCGAGCCGGTTCAATTATCATACATATGATACAAACAGAAACAGCGGAAGACTTAACTTACAAAAAATACGAGCTAACTTTTTCTTTTTCTGCTTTAATTCTTACTAGGCGTAAACGAAAATCGGGCAGAGTTTCCTTTATAAATCGGACAACTGGGGATTTTCCAATCCCACTCAAAAGCATTTCCTGATAAACAGTTAGACAATATATATATCCAGAAGTACCAGTCATCCAAATATACACAGATACCCATCCACGGGCGCATGCAAAACTTGGCTCCGTGCCACTATCCTAAGCAGCATGCAATCCAACACGAAATCATAATTGAATAATACATCATCATATAACGTGCCTGAATACCCAAATGTACATGCATCAACTGACAGACATGTACAAGACATATACAGGCCATATACAAAATAAAGAATCAATATCATGATCCATCAAATGCGGAAATACTAAATGAAATAAATGCATTCCAAAAGGTTAGTAGCCTACAGCTACTCAAAAAGACTGATCTGGCACCAACGTCTCAGCCATGTGTCGCGTCCCTGCCTAGTGAGGACTTACCGGGAATCTGGGCACCTGAAAATATTTCCCCAACGAGGGGTGAGATTACAAATCTCAATAAGCTCCAGGTTTATAGAGAATTGTCCATACCCCTGGCTCACTCCTGCACGAAAGTCAGATACAGAGTATACAAATACAACATATAGCAGATATCATAACAGAACAGTTCATATATCCATATCATATCAGAGGCGTGCACCGTCATTCCAAGGGAGGATCCCAAGCGGAAATCAACGCACTTTGTCTCGCTGAAATCTTTTACAATCTTTTCAAGGTCCAAAGTACCAAGAGCCTCTATTGCTTGATAGTAATTTTACTCAGTTACACCGAAGCTTCCACGGCAAAATCTATAGCCCCATCGACCATACCAAGAGTTCCCATAAGCAACTCCATGAAGTAACCGAAAATCCATATATCTCTTCCTGGAAGAATCTTGCACTGTAATTTTCCTGCCATACGAAGAAAATAGACAAATAAATATTGAATTCCAAAAATGAAACTAATAAATGAGTTAATTATTTTCTTACTATATTACAACACTTACCTTACTCCAAGATTGATGCAGATCCTGTCCCAGAGATCCATGATCTCTCTCCCACTGAGAACTCTAGAACCCCCTTCTACGCCATTGAGACGAAGCAAATGATTGTATCCGTTGCAGTGAATAACCCCATGCAAGAGATGACTCTGATTATCAAGAGCACCTTCAATTAAGGGTTTATGCCACCCGTTGTCCATCAGGATTATGAAATGGTACCTTCTCTTTGATACATAATGGCCACTCCAACCTACCAACATAAAACAAACAAATCCACATATTGGTATCACACTATCAGTATCAATAGCAACCCCTTTCAGTTTCTAATTAAAAGAGAGAACTAAATCACAACTACAAAAACCAGAAGTGGGAGAAATCAACAAAATTCCAACGAACCATTTTCAGAATAAATCAATATTCTTGCAAAACAAAACTAAATTCACGAATCACTAGCTAAATCTAAAAAAAAAAATCCAAAATTGGCGACCGACCCATATCAACTTCATTATCAAAAGAAAGACCCTATTCAGAGATATTGATCACGATGACAACAACCACAACAGATGTCAAAGAAAGCACGAAAAAATTAAAAGAGAGAACTAAATCATAATTATAAAAACTAGAAGTGGTAGAAATCATCAAAATTCCAACGAACCCTTTTCAGAATAAATCAATATTCTAGCAAAACAAAACTAAATTCACGAATCACTAGCTAAATCCAAACCATTACAAAATAAAAAATAAAAATAAAATCCAAAATTGGCGACCAATCCATATCAACTTTATTATCAAAAGAAAAACCATATTCAGAGATATTGATCACGATGACATCAACCACAACAGACGTCAAAGAAAGCACGAAAAAAAGATAACCCTATTCAAGACTCGAACAAATTAAAGACGCATGCCCAATTCAGAAAAAAAAATCAAAATTCTTGCAAAATCGAACCGACCCAGTTCAAGAATCATCAACCAAACGAATCCCAAGAGGTAAAAATTGGAAATTGTAAACGTACCTGCACAGCGGCAATGATCGTAGAAGGGATTGGAAGACCGATTAACGTCCTCTTCGATGGTGTAGAGAGGAGCTGTGAGGTTAGTCTCGTTGCGGTTGAGAAGGGTGCACCATAGGGGGTTGCCAGAGACAGTGTAATCTTGGAGTTAACCCGCTTCTTGAAGAAATAAGCGAACGTTGTCGCGAAAGGGACCAGAAGGTGTGATGGGGCAACCATGGTCAGCGAAGGAGTGGAATCTGAAGATCTTGGGGCATCGTTTTCTCTTCCTACAGATGAGAGAGAAAGACATGTTGGGCGAGAGAGAGAGAGTGAGTTTAACAGAAGAAATGAGTGTGAGCGATAGTGAGTTTAACAGAAGAAATTAGCGAGCGAGAGTGAGTTTAACAGAAGAAAATAGAGAGGGTTTAACAAAAGAAATGAGAGAGAGAGATTAGTGGATATTTATGGCGGCAATGAAATGCACCAAACGACTTTTGACGCCCAAAAAATGAGTCGTTGGACAGTTGTAATTCAAATTGACGAACAACAGATGTTTGGGACCGTTGTAATTCAAAATTGTTTGGGACCGTTGTAATTAAACCGGGTCACCATTCGGACCGGACATGCAACAGTTGTAACTAAACCCGGTCACCATTAGATCAGTTTTTTTCCTGATTCTTAACTAAACAAGCTCCTTCATGTAGAAGTTACTAGAAGCTTTGCCCCCTTAGAAAGTGGGGTCACCCAGTGGTGAAGAGGAGATGAGATGGGAATCGACGGTCGAGAAGAGAAGAAGAGACATGCATGAGAACATTATTGTGTCTTCAGTAATGGCAGTCCTCCAAGAAGTTGTAAGCTTACAAAAAGGAAAAAGACTACTTCCATGTGCTCCAAGAAGGTCCGTGGATAGTGGCTGATCACTATGTGGTGGTGCAACGCTGGAGGCCATTATTTGATCCTTATGATGAATCCTTCAAGAAGCTTGCGGTATGGTTAAGAATCCCTGGTCTACCTATTGAATTATATTCTTCAAACCATCTCTGGAAGATAGGAGGTATTTTTGGTAGGACCTTAAAGATAGACAAAAATTCTTTAAAGAAGGTGGAGGGAGTTCAAGGAGAGGTAACAGATAGAGCAAGGTTCGCTCGAATCTGTGTTGAGATAGACCTCCGAAAGAGTCTACTGTCCAAATTCCAGTTCATAGGGAAGGTGTACCAGGTGGGATATGAGGGACTACACATGGTCTGCTTTGCGTGCGGGCAATATAGTCGTCGGAAGGATATCTGCAGTAATGGTGGGGCGAAAGATGCTGTGAAACCACAAAAACCAGTATCAATACTACCACAGACAGAACGGAGTAGTGACGAAGGACGTATGGAAGGTAAGGAGAAGGATGATGATGATGCCTTTAGTGCCTGGATGGTGGTTCAAAGGCCAACTAGAGGACGACGGCCAAGAGTTTTTTCGGCGAACCAAGGAAGAGGAACGGTGTACCAGACAAAAAATCCAAGTAACCAAGGTCAACGGACTGCTGCCCAACCAGCTGCAGCCTTGTCTGTGCCTATGCCTGTACCTGCTGTGCAGAATCAAAAAGCTAACCAGCTAGAATCAAAGGGAACAGATGCCTCGAAGGGGACTTCCTCAGTTATGCAAATCGAGGAACATACTTCCTTAACAGTGGTTACTGCAAATAACACAGGTAAATCGATACGGAAGGTGGTGTTAGAAGAAGAAAGGAAGAAGAAAGATAACGAAAAGAAGGAAACAAAAGGGAGGGCTTGACAGGTGGGACCCATCCTTAAGTAGTCACTCACAACCATTCAGGGGAGTACACATGGAGGAAAGAGAATTGACAGTGGAGTTTTGTCCCCAAGGAAAAGCCATGCAGTGGCCCAACGTAACCTAATGCATGGAACCGAGGGAAAGGAAAAGGGTATAATTTCTGATACCTACGCTCCACCAGACCCCATTCAGGTTGCGAAAAATCATCAAAGTAGAATGGAAAGAGAAAGGGATATACTGGAAACGATGAAGTATCATATAGCAGAAGAAAATGAGGCAACTCTTGATAGAAGCCTACAACTATTGGGAGGAGTTCGCTTCCACTGTGACCTTTGAGGTCAGGGCTTTATGCCTTTCTACTATCCATGCATGTCTCTATATCAGTCTGCTCTTGGAATTGTCGCGGAGCTAACAAAAAGGGTTTGACCTGTCTCATCAGAGATATTGTAAGGAAGTATGACATCAAAGTTTTAGCTTTGCTGGAAACTAGGATTAGTGGGACCAAAGCCACTAGAAAGATTAAACAAATGGGGTTTGATGTATTCCATAAGCAAGACCCCGTAGGATTCTCTGGTGACCTTTGGCTTTTGTGGAACAAATCTGATGTGGAGGTAGCGGTTCTTGAATCTCAGCATCAATTCATGCATGCTAGTATCAGTGGAAACAGACGGGGAAAGAAGAAAATATCACCCTTATCTACACTAGTCCTCGCAGAGTGGAGCGTAGAGCTCTCTGGTCTGATATACATAGGCTCTGTCAAAGGGGACCTACTCCATGGTTACTACTAGGTGATTTCAATTCAGTCACCCATGCATATGAAAAAAAAGGAGGGAAACCTCCCTGTCAACGAAGCATACCAGAATTTACCACCTGCCTAGACATCTGCAACCTCGAGGATCTTGGCCACTCTGGCCTACCTTTCACCTGGAGACGTGGTAATCTATTCGAACGTCTAGATAGGGCTGTATCGAATGTAGAAGGAATGCTAGCCTTTCCACAGAGATATGTTTTTCACCTTTCTTTCTTTAACTCGGACCATCGTCAACTGCTATTGAGAGATAGGGAGCGAAACCCTGGAAGTAGAGAAACGAAACCCTTTCGTTTTCTTGCTTCTTGGCTGACTAGACAAGATTTCAAAGTCATCGTCGAAGAGAGCTGGGATGGAAATTCAGATTGGGTACAGGCAAGACAGAAGTTTGAGAATGAAGCTACAACTTGGCATTGTTCAATTTTTAAGGAGCACCTATGGAGGAAACATACTTTGCATGCGAGACTGATGGGGATAAATAGGGAGCTGGGTGATTCGGCTGACCATAACCTAGAAAGGCTTAAAGGCCAGCTGTGGAATGAACTTCAAACCATCTACGCTCAAGAGGAGCTTAATCTGTTTCAACGGTCTAGATGTAATTGGTTAGTCTTTTGGGATGGGGATGACCGTTTCTACCATACAGCCACTAATGTCAGAAGGAGGCAAAATAAAAATCACTTGGTGCAAGATGATCACGGAGCCTAGCATGCTGAACCCGATGTGGTGAAGGAAATGGCTGTTGATTTTTTTGAGAAATTGTATTCAGCTGACAGTATCTCTTCTCCCTTTCTTGTTTCGGGCTGCTTTCCCAGGATAACTTCCACTTCCTTTGAGCTACTCCACAAAAGCCCTTCGGTTTCGGAAATTAAAGAAACAGTGTTCAACATGCAACCATTTTAGGCACCTGGGACTGATGGTATACACGTTATTTTCTTCCAATCACAATGGAAAGTTATTAAGAGTAGTGTATGTGCTTTTGTTAAGGATGTGTTTAGTAATCCTACCAAAATCAAAGAGGTTAACCAAACTCTCCTCTGCCTTGTCCCTAAGGTTGATAACCCAACCTCCATCCATCAATTGAGACCAATTAGTTTATGCAATGTCATCTACAAAATAGTGACGAAGTTGTTGGCTCAACGACTAAGGCCTCACATGAATAACATTGTCCTCCCTAATCAATGCAGTTTCATCCGTGGAAGGCAAAGTTTGGACAACATAGTGATAGCTCAAGAAATTTTTCACTCTATGAGGAGAAAAAAAGGAACAAAGGGGTGGATGGCTATCAAGGTGGATCTTGAGAAAGCCTATGATAGGATTGATTGGGTTTTTCTGGAGCAAACTCTAATTGATGTTCGGCTTCCTACACAAACGGTCCAACTCATTATGGAATGTGTGTCTTCCACTACTATGAATGTCCTCTGGAATGGCTGCCAAATAAGGGAATTCAAATCCTCAAGGGGTATAAGACAAGGTGATCCACTATCACCATACTTGTTTGTACTTTGTATTGAGAGATTGGCACATCTAATAAATGATAAGGTGATGAAGAAGGAGTGGAAACCCATAACCCTTAGAAAAGGGGGACCACCGATATCACATCTGTTTTTTGCAGATGATATTACTGAGGCCTCAGTTGATCAAGCTCAAACTATCTCACAGGTGTTGGACTGTTTTTGCAAGGCATCTGGACAAAAAATTAACCAAGAAAAGACCAAGGTGTTTTTCTCACAAAATATCCATCATTCAAGGGCGGACCAGATTTCAAGGGAGATGGGATTCACCAGAACAAATGACTTGGGAAAATATTTGGGGATCCCAATCATGCATGATAGAGTCTCAGCAAAGAAATTCAGCTTTATTCTTCAAAAAATGGATGCTAGGCACAATACATGGCAAATGGCAACTCTCTCCTTGGCAGGTAGAACAACACTGGCTCAATCGGTCTTGTCCTCCCTTCCCTCATACACTATGCAAACTTGCATTCTCCCAGCAAAGACCTGCGATGAGATTGAAAGGAGATTAAGGGACTTTGTCTGGGGGTCAAATCATGAGGCTCGAAGGATACATGGAATAGCTTGGGCCAATATCTGCAGACACAAAAAGTCGGGTGGGCTTGGCATCAAACGCGTCAGACGAGTAAATCAGGCATCCATTATGAAGCTAGGGCATGGATTAATTACAAAATCGGATGCACTTTGGGTGAGAGTTTTAAAAAACAAGTATAGGTGGGAGAGGATACAATTCTGAAACTCACACAATGCAGAACAGCATCTCCACTATGGAATGGAATTCTCAAATGGTGGCAGCCAATTATGGAGGGCACTCGCATCCACGTGGGAGACGACATTAACACCAATTTCTGAGTGGATAACTGGGTCCCAAATGCTGGTCCACTGCTGGCCCACGTTACTGGAGAAGTACCAACAAACATGCAAACGTGGTCGGTTAGTAATTTTGTTACAGATGAAGGTCATTGGAATTGGAACTGCGTCAACAACTTACTTCCCTCAGAATTCTGTGACAAGATAGCCAATGTCCTCCCTCAGTCCCGACTTAATGGAGAGGATAGACCTATTTGGACTCATGCCAATGACTTCAGTTTCAGTATCAAATCAGCTTACAGCCTAATCACACAGGATATCCAAGAAAATGATGACATCAACTGGAACGCGCTTTGGAGTTGGAATGGGCCTCGTCGTATACAAATATTCCTTTGGCAAGCAAAGAGCAAAATTATGTTAACAAATACCAGGAGACTCCAACGTAAACTCACAACCTCAGCGATGTGCCCTAGATGCCACATACAAGAAGAAACAGTGTTACACCTACTGAGGGACTGCGTTTCCAGTAAACATATCTGGTATAGTCTGGGCCTAACAGTGGCGAACCAATCATTCTTCAATCAGTCCGTCCAAATTTGGTTCGATGAAAATCTCACAATTACAAACAAGTCTTATCACAATCGCTACTGGCATATCTTCTTTGGAGTCACTTGCTGGCACATTTGGAAAGCAAGGAATACACTAATCTTCGACCAAAAGACTTCGCAAGTAAGGCAATTATCCTTTGAGATCAGTAATCATGTCTACCACTTTCTCACACTCAAAGTCTCCTTAGTTCAAATGGTTTATCCAAATCGAAGAGGATGGAGCACCACGTTTGCTAGCAGCACCCAAATAATGGATGGGCTAAAGTAAATGTCGATGCCTCCTGTGTTCATAAAGGGAAGAGCTCGAGCTTTGGTGGAGTCATCAGGGACGACACAGGCAAATGGATCCTGGGATTTTGTGGGAGGCTGGGACATGGAAGCTCCCTAACAGCTGAGCTTAGAGGCTTCTTAGAAGGAATCCAGCAGGCCAAAAGGCTAGGTCTTAACAACGTATGCATAGAGGGTGATTCTTTGGTAACTATCAATCTTATTAACACAGGTTGCCAGCAAAACCACCCTCTATTCAATTGTCAAAAGGATCCGTCATCTTCTTCAAGAAGACTGGAACACTATCATAACCCATACATTTCGAGAAGGAAATGCAGTGGCTGACTGGCTGGCGTCTTCAAGCCATCATTTCAAAGACTGGGATACTCATTTTTTTGTTGATCCACCATTAGGATGTCATGTTCTATTAGCTAGAGACTCCATGGGCATTTCTTGCCCACGTTTTTGTAATATGTAGTCCTTATTTTCCCTCTGTTTGAAAAAAAGAAAAAACACAAAAAGTTAGAAGCTTATCCATTTATCTACTAGTGACAAGTTTATATATTATGATGCACCGATACTGACACGGGACATGACACGATATGATATGCCAACACATTAATTCTAAAAAATATCATATTTCGATACGTTAGGACACGTTTTGATATTAAATAATATTTTTAATATATATAATATAATTTATATTTAATACATATAATGGCCTATAATAAGTTATATAACCAATCAAATATTCAAATTTCATAACATAAATATAAACAAAAATAATTTTTCGTACCTTGTTAATTTTTCATGTAAATTTCATAACAGAAAAAAATTGATTTGTAATTGTTTTTTATTTTTAGTTAATGAAATAAAATTAAGAAGTAAAAAAAAAACAAAAAAAAATGTGTCGGATGCGTGTCGGAGCGTTGACCGCATGTCGAAAAAAATGGACTGCGTGTCAAAAAAACGTCGGATGGTATCAGAGCGTTGACCGCGTATCCCAAAATGTTGACCGAGTGTCGGACGCGTGTCAAAGCGTGTCCGTGTACGTGTCCGACACACATTTTGAGAAATTTAGCGTGTCGGTGCTTTGGAGTCTATATGCATCACATTCTAGTAGTGTTTCTACTTCTAGTAGTGTTTTTACACGTGATCCTTTCGCTTATATATGTATGCAATACGTGTTCATCGTACATAATCTTTTATTACAAATATGTGACTCATAATTTCGATAATTTAAAGAAAGCATTAAATAAATAAATTATAGTAACCAAAATTACATAAATTATATGAGAAATTAAGTGGGAATAATTATTAAGAAGTCCATTCATTAACATTTCGTGTTCGATACTTCTCGATATTTTACGATACTCCGACACGACAACACATATTATAGAGACTCAAAAAAGAATTTAAATGTTGCTTTACGTTTTTAGTTATAAGTATTAAATTTGTTGGATTACGATTACCAATTTATTAATATAAATATTTAGGGTATTTTTTTTTTTGAAAAATTGATTGATGTTATAAGTTTAGCTTTATTTTTTTTGTTAAATTATTGAATATTAAATATAATATACACTACATAAATTAAAAATATTATTTAATATCAAAACATGTCCTAGTATATCAAAATCTAATACTTTTTAGAATTAACATATCAGAATGTATAATCCCGTGTTGATGAAACATAGAAGAAAAATTCCCACATTCCATTTAATTAATAATGTAGACCGCATTGAAAACACCTACTAGTGAAACAAACGTTGGAAAGGGCAAAGTGAAAAGATATAACCTTTCATAATCTATTGATATTGAGTAGATCCTAGTATAAAGCATGATGAGTGCATAAAAGGTTTATGTTTTTTCACCTTAAACGAAAAGTTTTGTTTAAAATCATGCTTTGCTATCTTCCAACGTGATAAAGATTACACGTTTTATTTACAAAAAAAAAAAAAAAGATTACACGTTTTTAACTTTCAACAAGCAGGCAAAGTACCTCGGATAATCGCTTTGTGCAATTGTAATTGGTAGGTTTCAGGGAGAATAAATTATTGGAATTGGCTTTTTAGTTGAAAAAGTCAATAACGATACTATATTTTAAACAATTTGAATATAACCAATTATGTTAACCGCAAACCTAACAAATACATCACTCAAATCTATCATTCCATCTCCTTGTCAGGTCCAATATACAAGGTGCAACATACAGAGATAACAATAAGTAAAATCCCAATGAGGTGATCAAAAGATGCAGCAGCTACTCTTGTCAAAGCAAGGGTCCAAAATTGGGTTAGTGCTGTCTGAAACACAGAAAGGCAGGTATGTATCAGTCCCCAGGGCTAGTATTCAAATCCAAGTATCATGGAAAGAAAATAATATTCTATAAAGGCAGTGTAATCAGTTAAATGCTTAGTGAAACTAATGCATAGGCTTAGATACAAGACACATGACAGAAAATAACCAATGAGATCATCGCATGGTATTGAGATTAAGACACGAATCAATCACGTCTTATAAGATGACTATAATCAAAGTAAAACACTCCATGCTCTCAAGACAAGTTATATCATGTTTAAACAGGAAGAGATAAATGCAGAAATGACTGCAACACATACAAAATGGAACCTTCACTGATAACCTTGGAGGAGGTATTGCTAAGGATTTAGTTGACTAAAAACGTTGCACCCAAATAACACCTCAATATCTAAGCCTGTGTATGAGAGAGTTTGATGGCTCATTTAATATCAATCTAAGTATCCTACAAAATAATTACTAATTAAAAAAATTCGGCACACTAATGCATTTTTCCTACCATTTTCCCCAAATTATTTACCAAGTGGAAAATGCCCTTTCTGCATACTCTTACCTAGCTCAATAACCAATTTGTTAGCAGGCCTTGCTAAAAATGTGCAAGCAATGTGTCTTCAAAGATGCGCCTTGTTATTGAGGAAGGTCTTCAAATGTTGTTGAAGTGTTGAAGTTTGTTAATAACAAGGCGCATCTTTGAAGACAACAAAAGTTCAACACAATTGCAAGCCATAATAGAAGATTATCTTGAAGCACTCAAGCATCGCCAACCAGTCAATTCATACTCGATGACAACAAATAAACAACTCATGAAGTCCGACATAATACCGATCAGTTACATTGTATCCTGCTTGGAACACTGCACACTATGGGTAACCGGCCTAAGCTGTCATACATCTTGTCACCTTGACTCCTTCAAGCTACCAAGCTGGGGGGCTTCTGTTTTGGGCCTAGCATGATTGGGCCCCATATCACTAAGCCCACAGTCTAGAACCTTCTAGAGGGCATCCATGACAAGCCATATAGGCTCACCACTGGGACATCTCCCTATCCCTGCACTGCTGCCCCTGTACATTGACAGTGGGCAGCTTGATGAGACAGCTCAGGGGGTTGACCAACGGTCTCCTCCATGCTATAGAGGACTTTCCTCTCTAAATACCCCTCTCACACATGGAGAGGTGATCTTCTGCCTATGTTGTTACTCTGCCCATTGGTAGAGCCATCCTCACCACACACACCCCCTTATGCACCATGGGAAGCTCCACTTTCTCTACCATTGTCACTATGGACACCCTCTATATCAACATACTTCACCCTTCATGGGACACATTTTATGTACACCATCAGTACACAATGTATTGACAAACTTAACAACATTGTGGATACAAATCCAAATGGTCATGTGAGGCATGTATGGAATCTAAAAGCAAAAAAGATTGTTTCAACTTTCAACTAAAAACAAAACAATTTCCATATGAAGAATAAAATTCAAAACAGATTGATTTTTAATCAAAGACGAATAAGATGCCTGATGTATGGAGGAAAAGTATGATTGTGCCTATCTACAAAAACAAGGGAGATATACAGAATTGTTCAAACTATAGAGGCATTAAGCTAATGAGCCATACTATGAAGTTGTGGGAGAGGATTATTGAACATCGCTTGAGGAGAGATACCAAGGTTTCTGTAAATCAATTTGGATTTATGCCAGGAAGATGTACCATGGAAGCCATTTTCTTGATGCGACAACTAATGGAAAGATACCGAGAAAAGAAGAAGGACTTGCATATGGTGTTCATAGACCTTGAGAAAGCATACGATAGGGTTCCAAGGAAAGTTTTATGGTGGGTCCTGGAGAAGAAAAAGGTTCCATTAAAGTATGTAAAGGCAATCAAGGATATGCATGATGGGGCTACTACATGTGTAAAAGCTTGTAATGGATCATCAAGTTATTTTCCTATCACGGAAGGTGTACACCAAGGGTCGGCTCTAAGTCCTTACCTCTTTGCCTTAGTTATGGATGAACTAACAAAAGACATTCAAGAGGAAGTGCCATGGTGTATGCTTTTTGCAGACGATATTGTGCTTATTGATGAGAGCAAGGAGGGTGTTAATAGAAAACTTGAATTGTGGAGAAGCACATTGGAATCCAGAGGATTCACATTAAGTCGAAGCAAGACTGAGTATCTGAAGTGTGAGTTTTCTCTGGTACGAGATGAGGATCAAGAACCTGTGCATCTAAATGGTCAAGAGGTACCCAAAAAAGATGCTTTTAAATACTTGGGCTCCATTTTACAAAACGGTGGAGAGATTGATGAGGATGTAAATCACAGAATCAGAGCAGGGTGGATGAAATGGCGCAGTGCAAATGTGTGACCGCAAAATCCCCCTGAAGTTAAAAGGAAAATTCTATAAAACGGCAGTAAGACCGGCAATGCTATATGGAGCGGAATGCTGGCCAGCACATAGGCAACATGAGCATAAGATGGGAGTAGCAGAGATGAGGATGTTAAGGTGGATGTGTGGTTACACAAGGATGGATAAGATAAGAAATGAAGATATTCGACGAAAGGTCAGAATAGTACCGGTAGCCGAGAAGATGAGAGAACATAGATTGAGGTGGTTTGGGCACGTGATGAGAAGACCCATGGATGCTCCTGTAAGAACAGAAGTTTGTTACCAAGAGCTAAACACAAAAAGAGGCAGAGGTAGGCCGAAGCTTACTTGGGGGAAAGTAGTAAAACAAGATTTAATGGAGTGGGATATAGATTGGCGGACAGTATGTCTTAGAACGGAATGGAGAAAAGCTATAAGTATGGTGGAGGGTTAGACCCGCTGTTATTCCTATGTTCCAGATGGTCCCTTTTTAGTCCTTTTCTCCTCCATTTCCCCCACTTTTTCTTGTCCCTTTCTTTTTGTACTTTTATTTATTTATATATACATATATTTTTATTTTATTTTATTTTATTTTATTTTATTTTATTTTTATTTTTTATTTTTTATTTATTTATTTATTTATTTATTTTTTGCTTTTTTACTTTTTTTCAACCGTTTTGTATCTTTCATGTGGGTTCATCTACCACCGACCCCAATTAATTTGGGATAAAGGTGTTGTTGATGTTGATGTTGTTTTGGCCTTCAGGAGCCAAACCAGAACCTCCATACATCACTGGCACCACAACAGCTTAATGAAACATATAGAGATTGATGACTGGTGCATATAGAAATTTATAGTTCTCTTTTAATTCCAAATCTGGTGCATAAGTTGTCATGATTGATGACTGAAAACCAGGATAACTAAGAGTTATGCTACATACATGCTAATGACAAAATACAAACTTCGCAATTGGTTTCCCGAAGAGTTGGGATCTAAAATATATATAGAACTAAATTAAAATTAAAAAGGAAAAAAGAGAACCAGCAGCTGTAAAGTGAGAAGGATACCTCCAAGTACTGGATGTTGGCAACTTTACCAGTCCTCTCAAGTTGCAGTCCTCGTGCTAACAAGGCCTGCAAAAGATTCATGTACAATTCTATCAAATGGTAAAGAGAGGTTTGTTTCATACTATATGAGAGAAGTTATTGAAGATAAAGGAGAATACAAAGATAGAATAAGGCATCCTCCTAGAAAAGCAAAAGAAAATGAGAACAAAAGCAAGTAGAAATAACATCAATACATTCAAACAAAGCACTCAAATCTGACTGCACACTAGACAACTACGCACCAAGAGATGACCACTAGTAGGATACCACAAGAAGCCAAAATAATAACTATATCAAACAAGAATTGTTTAAAAGAAATTCTTCTACAAATTTACCATGTAGAATTATAAAAATTGAGAGAACCTACCATACAGGTTCATAAACCATCCACTTCTTCAATGATTTTATCCCTAGTTGAGCAACGCCATTAGATTAACTCATCAAAGAAGTAAAATGTAAACCCAGAGTGTTGTCAAGATCACGATTAAGATCGTAGGATCGTACAATCCTACAATTTGTTTTCCTTTAGCGATCCAAATAGCAAGTAAAATCATCTCAACATCGGATTGTGTGGGATGGCAATGGAAACTCGTAATATCGGTGGGATCCATTGCAACGATTGTAAACAAAAAGAAGAAAAAAAAACCCCAAAACCCACGACCCAGAAGAAATAAAAAATCAAATTTCATGCCATCAACCCTGCGACCTTCTTCTTCTGACTCCTTAAGGTAAGTGTTCCTATTTGTTTCACTCTTATGTCTACTTGGTGACTGTCAAAACTTTCAGTTGAGAGATAACAAAATTTTTGGATCGAGATATAATATGGTCTCCATTTATTCTATGTTCTTTTTTCTGTGCTTGTTTAGTGTTTAAACTTAATATATTTCTGTATTGTCTAAATTCTTCCGATCTTTCCATATGGATATATTGTCCTCCTGATATGGATTTAGTGCTTTCAATTATATTGTCTATAATTTTGTATTGCCTTCCACTCTTTCGGTTTTTTAATAATAAAAATAAAAAAAAATAAAAAAACCACTCCCCGTTAAACCCAACTATTGAGTGTGGGGTGAAGATAATCCTTGTACGCAACCTTATTCTAGCATAATAGCAAAGAGGCTTTTTCCTGGTTTCGAACCCATGACCTTTCAGTCATGAAAGAACAACTTTACCATCGCTCCAGTTCGCCCCCCTTTTCTTTTTGGTTTTTTTTCAGTTTTTTAATATAAAGATGAAAAATTAGTATTTTTTTTTTTTTTGAATAACATTGGCCTTGTTTATAATTTATCTATATTTATTGGTAATGATTTCGAGTTGTCTTTTATATTTTAACTCTTTTGTTGTCTTTTATATTTGCTATCTTTTAAAATTAAGAATGTAAGATCTTACAATAAATATTCATTTATATGTATAAATATTATTTTTTATAATTAAAATTAGGAACGTAAGAGCTTATAATTCGTGTCGATCCCATCATTTAGGATATTGCCACCCTTTTCTGACCATAGATATAAGATCTTGATCTAGAAAACCTTGCCTAGGAGTCTCTATTGCCAGCCACCCTCCCTTGATCAACATACTCAACACTAAGAAACAGGACAAAGAAGAAGATAAACAGCAAGAACCAAAAAATGTCATACTGTTTGTTAATATATTAAGGTTATTATATTATTAGTCTTACTTTTAGTGGGCTTGGGTTTCTACCAGCAATACAAGTATAGTAGTACTCGACCTAATTACAACCGTGCCGGTTAAAGTCATTGCCTAGAAGAATTAATGAGAAGTTGAGTCCCTGATTTTATAGCCCCTTTAAGCTGCTTGAGCGAATTGATGAAGTTGCTTATAGGTTGGATTTCCCCCCTGCAAGTGAAGTCTATCCTATCTTTCATGTGTCTTTGCTAAAAAAGGCAATTTCACTGTCCACTAACATACAACCCCTACCTCCAATGTTGAATGAAGAAAGGGAGTTGGTGGTTGAGCCAGAAGCTATGATTGATTGGTGCATTTCTCACATGGGCAAGTTCGAGGGTTGTGGTTGATAGGTTGACCAAGTATGCCTATTTCATTCCTCTCAGTCATCCATTTGATGCCAAGGAAGTTGCATAGCTGTTTATTAAAGAGGTGGAGTGCCTACAAGGCTTTCCAAAGTCTATTGTCTCTGATTGTGACAAAATCTTTATAAGTAAGTTCCAGTTAGCTTTGTTCAAAAGTTCTGGAACCCAATTAAAGTATAGTTCAACTTATCATCCCCAGTCTAATGCACAAACAGACTGGTAAATTGCTGTTTGGAGACTTGCTTAAGGTGTCACTGCAGTCCTAGACCCAAAACCTAGCCCAAACGGTTATTTTTGGCCAAGTTTTGGTACAATACAGCCTTCAAGGGAGCTACATGAATGACTCCTTTTAAAGCCCTCTATGGAAGTGACCCACCTTCATTGTTCAAATTCAAAGAGTATTGTTACCCCTCTTCTTGATGAAGTCACAGTTTGGCTTCAAGAACGTGACAATATCCTCCATGACCTACATCAGCATCTAGTTTTTGCTCAAAATCGTATGAAGTTCTAAGCTGATCTACATCAGCAGAGTTGTTACTTTTGCTGCCAATGATTTGGTTTGTTCAAAGTTACAACAGTATCAGTTAAAGTCATTAGCTAGAAGAATAAATGAGAAGTCGAGTCCTAGATTTATAGCCCCTTTAAGGTGCTGGAGCAAATTTGGTGAAGATGCCTATAGGTTGGATTTTCCCCCTGCATGTGATGTGCATCCTATTTTTCATGTGTCTTTCCTCAAAAACGAAACTTCACCATCCACTAACATACAGCTCAAGTGGAAGCACCTCCCTTCCTTTGACAACTCTTGGGAGGATTCTATTGCCATCATTGATCAGTTTCCAAATTTTTACCATGAGGACTAGGTTAAACTTTTTTTTTATCTGTGGGGTGGTGGTGCTGGTATTGATAGGCCCCCAAAAGTTTATTCTAGGAAACATTATAGAGGAACTCATCCCCTACTGAGTCACCAAATTCGTTAGAAGAGAATATTCTGTAATATTCTGTCAGGAAGGGAAAACCACGCTAGGAGTGCAAATGTTGCTGCTTGTGCTGACGTGGATAATTGAATTGGTGAAGTGCTGAGGAGAGGAGAGTAGTGGTGGTATTGGTAGATAGAGTAGCATGCTTTTGGGTGGAATCATCGTGGAATTTGGGGAGGATAGCACAGCTCCTCGAACTGCTCTGTAATTTACTTTTATATGTTTCAGTCCTGTTATGCTTTCCAGTTATCATTTCTTTTGGTGGTTTCTTGGCAATTGTCTATATTTCCCCATTCTGAACCAAATATACCAGTCTTGTTATTATTTCTAGATTCAGGTGTTGGTTGATTGTATCCAAGCATCCTTGAGTTGCCTTTCCAGCGATGTTTTATGGAGCCTAATTTAATTTTACGCAATTTTTCTTGTTGAAGTGTTCATTTATAACTAGCTTAAAGCTTAGTAAGCTCTAGTGTGAGGGGAAGTATTAGAATATCTAGAAAATATCTCATAACTTTTTATTGTATCTTAGAATATTTTAGATTATCTTAGATGGTATCTTAGGAATGACTTTCGAATTTCATTGTATTTCCTTATTTGTTTCCTTATTTGATTTCACAAGGATTAGGAGTCTAGTACCACTACAAATAGGGATTAGGAGTCTAGTACCACTACAAATAGGGGTGCCTTATATTTTGGATCACATCATTAGAATCAAAAAATCTTATTATTTTGAGTATTCCTTTTCTCTCTTTTCCTTTTTGTCTACCTAAACCCTATAATTTCAACAGTAAAGAAGTGTCCATACTTCACAATTATAAAACACTCTCTGGAGCCCTTCAAAGTGCTACAATAAAATAAGGGATGAAGCTATGTTCGATAAAATTACTGTTTCACAAGTCTTAAGGCATTTAAGTTTCGATAAGTGCTATATTCAATACAGTTCACTAGAATGAGCAGAACTATGTAGCAATTACGAGTAAGATCAAATAAGTTAATATATTAGTGTAGGCAGAAACAACACCATTCTGAATAGCATATTTTTTTTCCTCCATCTTATTTTCTCTTTATCTGGGTCCCACTATAGAAGCAGAACTCATATATAGTCCTCATTTCAAGTAGAGCATGATAAAACCAATATTTTACTACACCAATTGCCTATAATAAGATAGTTAATTTTTTAGAAAAAAATAAATAAATAAGCAAACTATCATGATACAGTTCACAGTTTACCTCAGCAAAGAAGGCCAGAATACCAAGTACAAGCATAAGTAAAATTGACTGAACTCCTGGAAGCACAAAATCCTGTACAAAGGAGACAATATTTTATAAGTACTGAAATTTTCATCCATGTAAGATATGACATAGACTGATGGTAAAAGAGATAAGATTCTAGTAACAATTACTTAGACAAGCAATATCTGATATATATATTTTTTTGTTTTTTAGTACAAGCAATATCTGATATCTTACTGGTGAATAGCCTTCCATGATAAAGGTTATTTATAAAGCTATTAATGAAGCAACCCCTTTTTCCAATATGGTGATGGATGAACTCACTAAAGAGAGCAAGTTTGAGGTAGTAAGCAAGAGTTGTAAAGACTATGTTGCTGATAATCTAGAATATAAATTCAGCACAGGGATCCAATGAATGTATGACTTTCGTAACTAATCTTGTCTGTAACGCCTGACCGCTTCAAGAATCAACGACTATCCCCACATCCGCTTCAAGAATCAACGACTATCCCCACATACTAACACAAGACTTTTCAGTGTGCTTTTTCCTCACTCGCACACTTCCCGTGAAAACTTCCCAGAAGGTCACCCATCCCAGAATTGCTCCAAGTCAAGCACGCTTAACTATGGAGTTCTTCCGTTCCGGGCTACCGAAAAGAAGATGCATGTTGTTAGTATAGGTAGTACCAATTAATTCTTATAAGCTATCCCAAACCGTGCAGTCTCATACCTGCACAATCTTTGGAATCCCTCTCTTTCGGGTGTCGATTCGATTCATTCATGCATGTAACCCCACACTGCACGGTTTGGGATAGCTTATAAGAATTAATTGGTACTACCTATACTAACAAGATGCATCTTCTTTTCGGTAGCTCGAAACGAAAGAACTCCATAGTTAAGCGTGCTTGACTTAGAGCAATTCTGGGATGGGTGACCTCCTGGGAAGCTTTCTCGGGAAGTGTGCGAGTGAGGAAAAAGCACACTGAAAAGTCTTGTGTTAGTATGTGGGGATAGTCGTTGATTCTTGAAGCGGTCAGGCGTTACAAGTGGTATCAGAGCAGTTTCGTAGGGAAAATTGTTAACTATTGTTATGTATGCTTGGGTTTGATGCTTTATAGTTGTTTTGGTACTCTTTATGATTATTGCATTTGTGATCACTAAGTGTGGGCCTGATCAACTCATTTCTTTGTGTAACATGTGTAGTGACATGACGAGGAACCGAAACAACCCTAGACCATCGAATACCAATGCTCAGCCAGAACCTATTTTGGTTGCTCTAGTTAGGCCCCGAAGTGGTCGTGGGGCAGCAGGCGGGCAGCCTGATTCCGTGGCTGAAACTCTTGCAGCCGTTCAGAGGGAGTTGGCTGCTAGCCGGCAAGCCAATGAAAATTTGTTGAAGGCGAATGAAGATTCGCGGAATGCCATGACCGCGATGATGAACGAGTTGAGGACGTTAAGGGGTGCTAGACCTGTAAACCGGCAACCCACTCCTCCTCACACTGCCACGCCTACTCCACCTATTCTCCAAGAAGAGGGTGGAGCGGGTAACAATGAGGGTGAGGCTAGTCACCATTCTGGTAGTCATAGTCATCACGCTGAGGTTCATCAACCACGAATAGAGCATGTCGATGAACATGAAGCCGAGGAAAGACGATTGACGGCTTTCAGAAAGCATAAACTTCCTACTTTTAATGGAGGCTATGACCCACTGGTGGCAGCAAAATGGCTCCAAGCTATGGAGAAGATCTTCAGGGTGATGAGATGCCCTGATGCATTGAAGTTGGTCTACTCCGTGTATATGTTGGAAGGTGAAGCTGAAGATTGGTGGATGAATACGGTGCAACCATTAGAAGCTGAAGGCCGAGAAATCACCTGGCGGTTGTTCGAGACGTTGTTCTTGGACAACTACTTCCCTAGGGAGGCAAGGGAACAGAAGCAGAATGAGCACAATGATCAAAAGCAAGGGTCGATGTCAATGGACCAATATTTTGCTAAATTCAATGGATTGGTGAAGTACGCCAACTATGGGAGAGCCCTACCCACTCCAGCTGAGATGACCTCCAAGTTTCAATGGGGTCTGAACGAGAAGATGTCTCGGAAGATGTCAAATTGTGACATCCGAGAGTTTAGTAGATTTGTGAACCAGTGCCGAAAGGTGGAAGAAGTGTACAATGTTTCCAAGATCAAAAAGCCTTCTGAGGCACAAGCATCTGGTGCTAGTGGAGCAACTGGCTCTATTTCATAAAAGAGTAAGAAAATGGATGAAAAGAAGAAATTACAAGCGAGACGATCGGAGGAAAAGTTTAAGAGAAGCGGGGGTCAACAATGTTGGGATGACGAAAGACCCCCTGTGCCCAAGTGTGACAATTGTGGCAGGCATCACAAGGGCGTTTGTTTGATGGGCCAGAACGTATGTTTTAAGTGTGGTAGACCTGGTCACTATGCGAGGGATTGTCCCCAGATTGTGGGACGGGTTGCTCATGTGCAAGTGGTCTCTGATCCTTCAGCAGCGGTGCATGTTAGTACTTCGACCCAACCCCAGCTAGAGGGGTTCCCATACTTGACGAAAGGTATGACGCATGTAGATTAATATGACATGCATAGTTTATTGAGGTTGGAGCCGCACATGCTTAGACTGTGGACTCAATTATGATTGTGTGATTAGATATGTCTAGTAATTAAAGACTAGGCTATGCATAGATTGCTAAAAGATGATAAGTTGTATGCATTGACCTTTCCATGGAAGTGGTGGTATTACCTCCATGAGGATAGTATCCTATGAGATAGAGAATTCTCGTTAAAGGTCTATATTGAGGGGAACTTCCCTTGGAGTTAGCCTTCGGGACCTCCTTGTGGTCAGATACCTAAGAGAAACAGCCTATAGCGGATCTCTCTTGGAAGTTCCATCAGATGAGATTTTTGTATAAGGTTATTTATTGGACCGCAGAAGGTCAGGGTTGAATACCGAGTGAATATGTATGACCCTTGAGGAAAGTGAAAGATAGAAATCATTGAAGGAAATAGTGGAAAGTAATTATAAAAACGAAAGCTAAATCGTGAAATGAAAGTTGGCATCCTATGATAGGATGATGAGGAAAAGATGAAGTAATTAACAGGGTAACTTCGGGAACACAAGAGAGTTCTCCGATAAATCCGTAGTTGAGGGAATGAGTGGTTTTGTTAGTTTTGAGGACAAAATCGCTAAAAAGGTAGGGTGAATATAATATCCCTAATTTAAGAATTTAATTAATTAATTTTAATTAAGTAATTAAGCTTGTATTAGTGAGTAAAATTAAGTTTAGGGCCTAATTAAGTGAATTGGGGTCACTTTTGAGGTAAAAAGTGTAGTCAGTTAAAATTAAGGGTTATAAATGAGTGTAGGCAAAAGTACCCAAAATATAAAAGTAAAGTTAAAAATATTACTTGAAAAATATTCTAGACCATTTGGTTAAGTTTGGTGGTGAATGGAGGTGAATAGATAGATGAGCTCATACCCGGTTAAAGTCACTTAACCTTTTATAAGTGACAAAACACCAACCCCACTCACATTTCTTCTTCTTCTTCCAGCGACCAAACCGTGGAGGGAAGTGTGCGAGTGAGGAAAAAGCACACTGAAAAGTCTCGTGTTAGTATGTGGGAATAGTCGTTGATTCTTGAAGCGGCCAGGCGTTGCATTGTCCATAAAGAGCATGAAGCACAACAAGGTTGATTTTGATTAGGGCTTCAATTTGAAAAGTATGGTTTTTACTTTAGGAATTTAAAATTTTTCAGTTAACGATTTTCCTTTGTTTATAGAGGGATATTCCTATCCCAGTTTATTTCCTATTCAGTTATTACTTTGTGTGGTATAAATACCCCTTTTCACAGCTTGAGGACTTTTCTTGCTTGATTATTGACATTAAGGAATTTTCAAACTTGTGAAATAAGAGGACAAATGTACCCAATATGAGTGCAATAAATGTATTTATAGACAGTAAACTATGCTAGTAGTACAGTATAGTACAGGACAATACGAAGGGCATAATTACCCTCAAGAACACTAAACACATGCTTAATACACTGCTCTTAATACTCCTCCTCAAGTTGTGACAAAGATTTTAATCATGCCCAACTTCTTATATAGATAGCTAACCCTACTTCCGTTCATTGCCTTCATGAGGATGTTGCCAATCTATTCTTTGGTCCTAACATATCCTGTGGATATAAGTCCTGTAAGAAAAATAATAAAATATAAAACAATTAATGAGGCCTTCACCTAACAGCTTAAATTGTAGGGTTGGATTTATTGTTTTGCATGGTATTAAAGTCTCTGTGATCAAATGGTCACAAATTCGATCCTCACCATCTCTATTCTATTAATAAATAATTAAATATTGTGGAGTTTCTTAGCACAGATAGGCAAACCTGTGCATTGACCATCCTTAAACCCAATGGGCTCTTGTGTTAAAGAATGTGTTAGAAAAATATAAATCTATTCATGTTATCTTCGTCTAACACCCTAAGTTGTTGGGTTGAATTAGTTGCTTTACAAGTCCATACTGGATCTTTTCCCAAATTAAGTGACAATTAGCTTCTATTTATTGTTACCTATCATGGAATACTGGGTTTGGGACCATGTGAAGGGTAGCTCAGGTATTACACCACAACTGCATAGGGGAAGCCACCTTGAATACGATATCATCAAGTAAATGATACACCCGTAATAATTCACAAGAAAATTGGACCATTGCTTGATATTCATTCTCTGAACCTAACCTTGCTACTATGTTATGCCAGTTGATTTTCCCAAAAATCAAATTTCCTCCTAGGAAAACACAATAACCGAAAGTTGGTTTTCGAACTAGAAGAGACCCTTCCCAATCTATATCAAAGTAACCTTCCAATGTGCAATGGTCATGGTCTTTATAAAGAATTGCATGTGTTGGAGCTCCTTTTACATACCTTAAGATATGTAACATTGCATGACCATGAGAACCTCAAAGCAATGACATGAACAAATTATCTTACACTTATTAGGCAAGAGATATCTAACCATGTCAGAGTAAGGTAGTTTAGTTTACCAACCAGCT